TTTGTTATTTTTACCACGAACTACGAGATTTTGATCTTCCATGGCACTTTGTGGGTACGTAGGCACGAGGCTAATGAAGTCTTGTCAAACACTAAAAACCTAAAAAATCATTTCTCTTCTCATCTCCTTAATCATTTGCAAAAAAACACCTTTTAAGGCAAAAATAGATTTTCAAGAGGTTCTTATAGAGTACTATAGATGTTTTTGGGGCTAACACCTTCCCATTGCATAACCAACCCCCTTACCCTTTGCGTCTTTGTTTTATTAGTTTTATTTTTAAAACTTTTGTGGGTTTTATTTGTTCTTTTTCCATTCCTTTAGGAAAAAAATAAAGTGTGGTGATGACTCTTACTTTATGAATTAAGTTAATCAATAGCTTAATTTTAAATTTTTTCCTGCTACAGAAAAGTGGTGACTCTGCTGGGGAGTAGTCTCTAGTGGATTTAGTCTAACTTGTTTATCTATGTCTTATTATTATTTGTTGTTTGCTTTTGTTTTTTGGTGTTTGGTGATCTCTGAGTAGTGAGATAAGTCATATACCCAAACTTGAGTTCACTTGAGATATGATGGTGGTATAGTCATGTTTGGCTTACGTGGAGTTAATCCTTAATAAGCTGAGTTGAGATCTCCAACTCAGTGGAGACCTCCTTGAGGATAAATATGTTGAACAAGTAAGTTATGAAGGTATTTTACTTTTAACCTGAGAGCCTGAGAAGCTGAGGACCTTAGGGCCCTTTAACTCATCTTGGTCATTTTAGGATGTAGTGCAGTCACTCATTATACTAGATACCTAGGGGTCATGTGTCTAAAAGGTCATGTGAAACATCTCAACAATGAGACTAGCATCTAAGGCACGTGTCTTCAAAGTTCCTCGTATTGGCTCTCAGGCCTTTTCTCTTCCCCTAGAAATGTAGTTGGTTCAGTTTTCTACAAAGACTTCTCATTTGTTATGTCATGACAAGGCTTAGGAAAAACTATTTTGGATTGCCCGCAATGCCCAATAAATGAATAGACCAATTATCACTTTGAGACAATCTAACTCATGTCATGAAGGTTCAAGGCAACCTAATTCTGAAGGATGCCCACTATTTTAATATAATCATAAATTCTCTCTCTATCCTCAAGGGAAAAAGAATGGATTTCTCAAACCACCCATCATAAGTATATTATACATCACCGTGCGTGAAATTTGAGGTATGATTTTCATTATAATTCACTATACTCCTTTATGGATTCAATAATTAACTTAAGTATTAGAGCGTTAACCTTGTCGATCCACTCAGCGTTAGAGGCATGCACCGGCCACCATACTGAGAGCAGGGTCGTCTCAAACTTTTGAGAGGCCCTGTGTAAACATTTAAAATTAACTTAACTTTAGTTGTAAGTTATTTTTAAGAGGCTCTATTTAACTGTGAATAATGTGTATGAAGGTCTTTTTGTCATAATTTATTTATGAAAAAATGTGAGACTGTGTTGTAGATCGTCTTGCACGCCCTCAAAGACGGCCTTGACCGAAAGCTAGCATACCTCATTATTAATCCATCAACAATTCTAATTTTAAAGGAAATAGTAACCCAAAAAATGATTGATGTTAACTAAATCATCTCAAACTCTTTAAAAATTATTTAAAATAAATAAATAGTTATTCAATAGCTCCCTAAATATGATTGATAAAAGAAACATAATTATGTCCAGCCACGTAAACAAAAAAAACGATTTATAATTTAGAGTATAAAAATCAATAACCCAAAATTAAATTCTCTTAAAATATATAGTAAATAGGAAGTATTAAACAATGAATATAATTAAAAGATAATAATTAAATTGTATAAGAAATTAAAAACCACGTTTATTTTAAAATAAATAATTTTTATTATTTTGTAACAGAGCGAATATATTTTTGCTCTCATATGCATTTAAAATTTACCTTTTTAAAACAAAATGACATTTTTCCTATTAATACTTGTTCTCTCTTTTATGTTCAAGGGTCCAGATCTTATATTCCCCTCTCACGTCATTGGAAGGGATCAACATCCACATAACGATTCTTAGTTCAAATCACATCTTTAATTTTATGTTTCACCTAATTTTTTGAAACTCTTAGTTGATCTTTCAAACAGAAGAAAAATTGGAAAGGTTTAACTAAAGTGTCAATTTTAATCTAATAATCTAGTTGTGTATCGATGTAGAATCAAGATTAAAATAGCAACCAACTCAATACTCGTATACACGTGCATTACTTTTGATGGAAAGAGTTAAGAAAATGGGCCATGTTTTTGTTATGATAATCAATATTTTACTATAAGTTTTATCTTTCTACTCCGCGGCTTGTCTTAATATCTGTCTCGTTAATCCTACAATTACAAATAATTCTTTTAGATTTGTATTACAGTCCAAAAAAATTATCGCACGTGAACTTGAAGAGGAGCCTAGGAATTTATCTTGTTTTTGGTTTATCAGAATAATCTTCGATGACTAATTTTGTTAGTTAATTAATATCGCACTTAATCTAGATTAGTATTTTTCATGGCTCCCACCATTTTGACATATTGCAATATTGCATTAATTGATTTAATAGCTGCTTTACCTTTAATCAACAAATTGACAAGCCTTAATAAATAAGACAATTGATTGGAGGGATCCACATCGGTGCTACGAAGTATCCTTAAAGACATTCATAAAGCAGAATTAGTATAGTATATAGTACTACGTATGAAAATAGATTTTGCGTCTTGAATACGAGGATGTGGAGTTTCTTTTTGAGACATAAAAGGCAAAAAAATAATAATTCATAATGAAAGGAAATTTCCTGTATAGTGTACAGAAAATCAATAAGGTGGTCCAGTAATAACTGTCCTTGATTCATGCATAAAAATCAATTATACAGAGCAAGGATCCAAGAGCAATGAGAGGAATAAGTACTGAGGTAAAATTGTCACTATGTTGATATATTTTTCTTCAGTATGGTCCATCTGTGTTTGATGAACATGGGATTAATTTTAGACAGAGTTGTATGGATGAGAGATATCTTATCAGTGGCCATATGGATGTCATGCAAAGGATGTGATGATAAGAATGCAAGACAAATGCCTAACATGCATGTATGGTTACTTTTTTCTGCTATGACATGGGAATAAAGCTATGGTGCTATGTGTTATTGTTGTTGCATGTAAAAATAATATACCTTGTGTCGGGGATTCGGGCTAAATGACAAGTTCTGTATATAACTTGAAACTTTAATTGAGCATCTGTAGAGAATAAAGGATAAATTCTGTAGTAAAGTGTTTTTTTTTCAAGATCTGTTGCATTTAACAATTTAAGATTTGTGAATTTTAATGTATAACTAATTGACATTATTGTTAATTGAAATAAAAGGTACTCCAGAAGCTAGCTCTTTAGGTAGTAGAGCTACAATGAAATATTTGTTGGATAAGAGGAATTTGGAGTACAGGTTGAAAAATGTTTGGGTGGTCAAAGTAAATGTTCCTCATGTGAAGATCTATGTCTGAATGAATGAATAGATGAATGAAAAAACAGATACTTGTCGGAAATTTCTGGGGCTAGTGATTGGTAGAATGTATAAGGGTACCATAATGAAACAGCCTGGAGAGTTCACGAGCAGGAACTGGTTATTTGAAGAGTCAATGTCATTGATAATTGATGGTACCCTCTTTATTGTTGGCGGGACCAAGGAGTGCATAAACTTCATAGTTTTGCGTCACTAGACTCCAGATATGGTGTTAAAGTTTATTTTCAATTCAGTATAATAAAAACAAAAGAAAAATCTCTATGTTTGGATTCTCTGTGAATTTATTATGGTGATTCTAGACATGGATGTAGTATCTAATATGTTGTTGTGGATAATGAGTTTAAGATATGAAATTGAATGAACCAAACAAGTTAATTAAATTGTATTAGGATGAAGGAATCTGATGAATCTTTCCATCAACAGAATGAATCATTCATTCTCAAGAGTCAATTAAGAAGCAAAGATATATAGCATGAAAGAAATTAAAGAGATACCTTAAGAGATAGTATTATAAAATTAATAATTGTACTATTAATGAATTCAATACACATTATCACACAGGAAAAAGGCTCCAAAAACCTTTTGAAAGAGGTGAAAACCAAATGAAAAAATCCAAAACAAATTAAAACTATAGAGACGTGTTTCCATCACACGCATTGGACACCAGACAATGGGTCCTGTATATAGTTAGGCCAAAGCTCGAGGCCAAAACAAAAAATAAAAATAAAAAATTCCCGCCAAAAATAAAACAGAAAATTCACACATAAACACACACGCCAAAAGTCTACACAATGCACCAGCTTCAACTTATTACTGTTACTAGAACCATTTTTTTATCTGTGGGATCCCCACCCATCAAAGTGACTTGTGCTAGATGAAAGAAGAAAGCATACTGTCCAAAATATAGAGCTTGACTTAGAAATATACCATTCAAAGAAATAGCTCTAACTCCAATGTTTCAAACCACTATGTTTATGCCAACCCAATTGATATAACAGCTCTGTGAGACTCTGTTTTTCTTTCAATGCTTTCAAGCAATGTCCCACAATGTTCTGTGTTCTGCCCTTTCAACAATAACCAAGCAACACATGCTTGAGTTTCCAATTCCCACTTCTTTCTTCCATACTTATACAACAAGATCTCATCGATTGCATCTCTGAATACTTCCCTTCTCTCTATTTCTATCTGTCACTCTCTCACTTTCCCACAAAATCCCTCTCCTTTGAGAATTTATAAAGCCATGGATGAAATGGCTATACCCATCAACAAAATAATAGTAATAATAGTAACAATAACAATAATAAAAGCTCACAACTCTCACTGAGTATAGTAATGTGCACCATGACTTAAGGCCAATTATGAAAACTCAAAAACCTTCTATAATAAAACTTTGAGGTTTCTGGACCACCACCTTATTTCTTTTTAAGTTTTTTTCCTTTATTAGTATTATTCTTTTTTTTTCTTCTTTTTTTCATTGGGAGTTTCCTTTGTCATCATCCACCCACCAACAATTATTTAATTTCCTTCTTTTATTATAGGACGGAGAGGAGGAAGGGGAAGAGGAGGAGGATGACGAGACACTTGACCTCATTAGTGGCTGAGTTGTCACTCGTAGCTGTGGCAACACTTTAGGGGCTGCTTTCCTTTGGTTATTGTCAATCATAAGTTCTTCCATTAACCTGTAGCACCCTATAATTTTCTCCTGCAAATAAACCATCTACCATTCAAAACATGATTATTGCAATGCCACATTAACTTTGGCAAACTAAATACTACAATTAGTCAAACTCATCATGATTTAAAGCATGCACTTACTTTTCTTAGCCCTTCGCACCATGTCTCGGCATGCTCCGGCTTAACTAAAGACCAATTAGGGATTTCGTTAGCTGCGTATAGAATAGCCGCTGCAGCAATGCATGATGGCCAATATGCAAGAAAGTTTGCCTCTGCATATATATAATGCCAATTTGAAAACAAAGAGTTAGTAGTAGTAGTAGTCGTCTTCGTCGTCCTAGTGCTTTGAATCATTTTGTTGACACATTAATTCTTCTCAACCACCTCAACTACTCGTAGTTGAGATTTCATATCTTTAAATGGCTACAGGAATCAAAATTATATATAAATTGGAGATGCATAAAGATAAAATAAAAAATATCTACCTTGGATATGAGATAAGATAATTTGTGTAGCTCGTGAAATGAGGAATCCGGTAAAAATTCCAATTGAATCTAACTTGCATGCAAAGAAACTTAGGAAGCTAAATGGGGTAACTGATCTTAGTCTCCAATCCAAGACACTTAGAATAAGTAGCTCCATTCTTCTAATTGTTCTGGGTTCAAATATGTATTTGGCACCTTCTACCTGAATTAAATTATTTGATTAAAGAAATGTCAAATATACGATGTAATAGTACATAGCTAAGGACAAAACATGAGTTAGCAAAAATTTAATTAACGAATGTATTCTTTTTTTAATGAAGAATGTACTAAGAATACGACTCTACTATACGTTAATATATAGTACCTTTTTTTTTTACAATACATAAAAATATATACCTGAAGGTCCAATAGAGAAGGGACTAGAGTTTCCTCCATCTTGGCCGCTAGAGACAAGGAAGCAACTGATAGAAGTTGCAGTGGCCACCCATTTGATTGCTGTAAACATATTTATATGTAACAAACAGTAAGTTAAAACAAAAATTATTATATATCATCATTGTTATTTTATCACAAATAACTCATCAAACTTTTGGGCACATTTCCCCACGCGCAATGCACGTGCCTAACGTACTCAAAACATCACCAAGCTGTCATTCTTTTTATTTTTCAACAAAATCATTACGATGAGTTATATAGTACGATATATACCTATAGGCTATACACACAGTTTTGTTATATTTTTAAATAGTTCTATTTTTTTTATAATTTGAAATCATCATTGATGATTATAGAAGACTAAAAACAGTAAATAAAGTAGATACAGTTAATCCTATATATATAATTCATTAAACTCTATTAAATTTAATTCATCAATCTAAAACTAATTTATAAAGGATTTAATAGTAATGCACTGTCCGTGTAAGAGAGTTTTAACATGCAATTAATCAAAACATTTACAATCGTCATATAATATTAGTATTTTAAAAATAAAAATATATTTTATTTTAATATATAGTTGTGATTGATTGACAGTGTAAAATATTTTACATTATCAGTGCATTTCTTTTGTTCTCTTAATGATGAATATTTTTATTTATAAATTTATTTTAGACATTTTATTTTTTATATATAAAGTTATACATATTGCATTGTTTCAATAATATAAACAACATAATTCAAAGTTTCAAGTTATTTTAAAATTATTTAATATAAAAAATAATATAACTTAAAATAAGTGAATGGACAAATACGTACCCAATACAAAAATCAGTAATGGAGTGTTTGCCCAACAAGTGTTACTAATTCTTATGTAATTGAGAAATCGAGATTATTTAAAAGAAAGATTACAAAACTTTAAAAGTTTAATAATGTAAAAGAACTTTCATTTGCTGGTGTATAAACTTTCGCAAAAAAGTAGAGTATTAAGACACAAAAAGAACAACAATACTATTCTTCAAATACCATTTCTAAAATGCATTTAATTTAATAAAATGCATATAAATTTAAATAAATAAAAATAATGTTAAAAGTGTGTAATAGAAAAAGTTACAGCTACTCGATAAGAAATGGTTGAGTTGTAGATTCATTTTCCTAAACGAATTATTAGTAGAATTTATTAGGCACCTATAATGTTCGTACGTGACCAAAAACATTTATAGCAGAATAATGTGATAATAATACATATGTACACGTTAAATTGACATTATTGTCAAAACTCTAAATAAAAATAGTTTAAATTTACATAAAATACATATATTATTAACTATCTTAATAAATACATTATTTAATTCATTCTTCTTTTTTTCTCCATATTTAAATTGTGTGTCAATCTTACCACCAAGAGTTGAGTTAATGAGTAAAATCTCGAATATCAAATCTGAATAATTTGATTTACGGTGTTTTACCGCGTTGTACAATGTAAAACGTTTTTTTCACCTATTTATAAAAACTGAACTCATTTAAATCAACATTAAATCAATTGAATAATTTAAAACGTTTTTATTATAATGATACGGCGTGAGCAATTCCTCTTGGCATTATAAAAGTTATACGCATTTTTTGCCTGGAAGTCATATTTAATTACTGCTTAGAATTTTTCTTCTTCCAACACATGCATTTGCAAGTAATATTCCATTTTAGTCTATTTTTTCCTTAAATTTTATTTTAAATTATATTGGACTTCTCAGAACTCACCGGCAACTGCCGAGAATTCAAGAACCGATCCATGTAGTTGACGGCGAGATAAGACGTGAGCGGTTGAAAACCGTAATAAGCCTGCACCTGCATACACCAGATCGCAATCCGATTCAGATGAGTAAGAGAAAATGATAAAATTATTGTAACAAAGATGGAAATGAATCGCCGATTATCAGCGATGTGTGAAAATTGTTAGATTCGGAGTGTTTACCTTTAGGATCCATGCAACGGATTCTTCCCTGGCCGATGCATCGATCTTGCGAGACTGTAACTTAGAGAAATAGTCAAATCCGAGAACGAATTTATGTTCGTCATCGATTAATCCGGCGATGAACTCCTCCTCCGGCGGCGGAGACGAATCAACATCAGAGAAGCACTCTGCTGGTGAATCTCCGGACAAGATGCTGGAGGTTTCCTCGCTGCATAGGAGGTCATCGTCCGGGAAGAAGTTGGAGTAGGAAAGCGACATCGCAAGTGGAGGCGATTCATTCTTGTGCCATGATTTGTGACGAGATCGGCCGCCGGGGATGGTCGGAGAAGTTGCCGGAGTGGACAGTGGTGGTGAGAGTGTGGTGGTTAGAGTGTGGAGAGTGAGAGTGTTGTTGTTGTTGATGAAAGGTACTTGTAACTCTGCATCGGTTTGTTTGAATATAAATATGCGATGGCTTTGGTTATTTATTTATTTTTAGATTTTGGAATGGAGTTTTTTGATTTCCCGGGAAAAAAAGTTAATTTCCCAATCTTTTTTAGCGCCAGTTGGACAGCATGTGCTTATGGATGGTGAAAATTACCTCAACAACCCATTAGTTAAATTCATTGATATTTATCTCTAAAACAAATATATTTTTTTTACAAATACAACAAAAATAAATTATTGAATGTGTTATCGTTAAAATCTAGATAATTTAAATAATGTGGTGCTTTTAATAAATTACAAATAATTTTAATATATTTTACACCTAGCGTGAGTTTTGATATATGATAATCTTTAACATGACTATGACTATGATATTATGTTAAATGTATTTGGACCTCATCCCTAAAAATTCGGTTAAAGGATGAGTGACCATGCAAATATAGGACATCTGATATGGTATTAATGTCTCATTCATGATCTGTTAGGTTACCTACTATCAGATTCTGTTATCGTGACATTCAACATTTATATCAACACTTCAAATGTTCGGTCTTTGGTGTGACGGGTGAGTTAAATAGTCTCACATTGAATACTATATGGGTTAAACATATGTTTATAGACATTCACATCTTATAAGTCAATTTTTTAAGGTTGAGTTAAGCTCAACCGCAATTCTTAAGATGGTACCTGAGTCGAGTTTAAGAACAATTAGACCATTTGCTATCAAGTTTTCCTTATCGACTTATCTGTTATTTATATCCACACATCAAACTCAATCGTTAGTGTAAGAGAGTGTCTTAAGAGTCACATATTATATAATATGTAGCCTGAAAATATGTTTATAAATGAGAAAATTCTTTACCTTACAGACCAATTTTGTAAGGTTAAGTTAGACACAACTTAAATCTTAAGAATAATTTATCATCGTAAAAGGAAACTTATAATTATTATTTTAAAAATTACATTGTAATCAATTTAAATTTGTAATTATTATTTTAATCAATTTACATTGTAATCTCTCATTTCCTCTATTTTTGTTTCATTATAATTATTTTGATATTTTTTATGCTATTGTTTTATGTTTATTATTTCACTTTCGTCTAATCTGATTTTTACATATTAATGTGAAGTTGTTTTCTAAATATGATTAGTTTTGTTGTTTTTTTGGAAGTGTATGAATGACTAAATACAAACTTATGTTGTCATCTAACCTAACTTTGTTTGACACAATCAATATTAGGTGTTTGGTCAATTTCGCCTATTTCAATTTAGAATATTTTTTCTTTTATATGGTATTTGCTTGACATAGCCTTTTCAGCCTTCAAGCGTTCAACTTGTCGAACTCTGTCTGCTAATTGGGTCATGTTTCTTAAATATTAGGTGTCCAATTTCTTCCTAATGGAATCATTTAGACCCAATGCAGCTAGTTTGACTTATTTATGCTGAGGCACTTGAGTGAAGCACTTTGCTTTCAATATCTTGAACCTATTAAGGTAGTCATCTATTGATTTGGCCACCTTACGTCTCATGTAACGCCCCGATTCTGAATTCCCATTAATTGTTGAGTCTTTTAATTTATTTAATTGATGTTTGTTTAAATTGAGAAATTATATATATTTATTATGTGGTGTTTGCTTATTTTATCTATTTTACCGATTCGGAGAGTTTTCGGGGAATTAGAGTAAAAAGGGCATTTTAGACATTTAGCACTTTAGTGTAAGAATTGATTGATAAGTGTTGGAAAGAATTTGAGAGGAAAGAAATAGAGATAGAAATAGAATAAGAGAGGAAAAAGGAAGAAGATAGTAACATAAGAAGAAAAACAAGAGAAAGAAAAGAGGAAAAGAGAAGAGAAGAGAAAGTGGAGAGGAAAACCTAGAAATCATCGAGGAATCATCACCAAAGCTTGCAATCGATCGGTAAGGGTGTGAAACTCCATCATCTCTTTAATGTATATGATTGTATGTGTATGTGTGTGGATTTTGTAGAGTTTCTACTCTTTTTCCACTTAGGTTAGAAGTTGGTTTTGTGAGTAGAACGAAGTTTTAATCGGTTAGAAATCGGATTAGACGATGTGGTTTAGTCGGGTGATGGTTGGGTTGTGCTACTGTGATTGGTTTGGATTTAATCGGTTGGATGTGTGGAATTTGGGCTTTGAGACAGCCATGGAAGTTCTGTCTTCGCAAGTTCGCCAGGCGAATGGCAGCGAAGCTTCGCCAGGCGAAGCCCAGCGAGCTGTAGCGAAGCAAGTCAGAAGCTAATACCCTGTATTCGCTGGCAAGTTCGCCAGGCGAGGTGAGTTGGCGAAGGTTCGCCAGGCGAGTGGGTAGCGAGCCTCAGCGAGTAATTCCAGAATTACTCCCAGTGGACTTCGCTGAGGAGTTCGCCAGGCGAAGGCCAGCGAGCATTCGCTGCGTGGCTTCGCCAGGCGAAGGTTGGCGAACCTGGCATTGTTATTTTGTTTTGTTGTTTGTTCATGGCATGATGTTTGATTGATTCAATTATGATTTATGCCTATATGAATGATTGATGTGTGAACTGTTTCAACATGTTGTGCTGTGGGTGGCCGAAAGGCGTGAATCCTAGATTGTAGAGTAAATGATAAATCTTGCATATTTGATAATCTTGTGTATTTGCTCGAATTGAATAGAAATGCATTGATAGGCTGATATGTGTGTAAACCATGTGTGGAATGGTGCATAATGTGAATGCATGATAGATATATGCGATGTATGTGATAAATGCAATGAATATGTTTGTGAGCATAGTATGCATTTTTGTGTCGATTGATCCCTCGGAGGATTTGCAGAACCTCGTATGATACGATGGTTATATTTGATTCCTTGGAGAATCGGTTGCATTGTGTGATTCCTCGGAGAATCGGTCATAACATGTAATCCCGTGGAGGATTGGTTAGAGTATTTGATTCCGTGGAGAATCTGCTGAGTACTTGATCCCGTGGAGGATCTGCTGAATATTCGATTCCGTGGAGAATCTGATGAATATTTGATTCCGTGGAGAATCTGCTGAGTACTTGATCCCGTGGAGGATCTGCTGAATACTCGATTCCTTAGGGAATTTGTTGAACGAGTCGGTACCGCATTTGCATCTGCATAGGGTCGTGTGTCGGTCTCTATGAGTTGCATGAGTCATCTGTGTATGATGCATTGGTTGTGTGAATATAACTGTGTATGTTATATGTGATTGTTTGGAGGAAATATAGTGAATGTTCATGTGTATGTGTAGAGACATGATTATTTGTATATGCTTAATGTGGTGAGAACATAATTTGAGTATAACTTGTACCAATATGAGTATATGTATATATACAATTTTATGCATTAACTGTTATGATGTTGTTTCTCACCCTTCTGCTGTTTTCTAATGCTCTATGAGGCATTGCAGAGTAGGAAGCTGGAGGTTCTTTTTGTGAAGCGATGTCTTCATTTCTTTTGGTCGATGGCTCTGATATGTAACATCTGGGTAGTTAGGAAGTCTTTGACTCTTTTGGAGTTACATTTGTTTTGATTCTTTTGTGATACATATGTGTATGTATCTGCTGTGGATATGTTGTAAAGCATGAATTAACTGTTGGTTGTATATACCTTTATGAATGTGATTGATTCAATATTTGGATGTTTCCGCTTTATTCTAAATATTGAGATGTGGGTTACCCATTGTTGCATATCTATTTTGAGCAGGTATCGTATGTGTTTAATTTCATGATAATGTGATGCGCCTCTTTTATACCATGTTTTAATTAAACTCTGATGAAATAAATTTTCTATGTGCCTAATTGATTTATCTAATTTATTTGGGGTATAGAAAGGGGGTGTTACATTAAGTGGTATCAGAGCCAGTGTTGAGTCAGTCGTGTCTGTCTTGTTGTTGTGTTGGTTGAACGGTTGTTTAACCTTGTTGATTTTTGGGAATCCTCAGAATATGGCAGGTCGTAATGACAATGCTATGGCAGCGGCGTTAGAGGCTATGGCCAGAGCTGTGCAGGGTGCACCTAACGTGAATGCGAATGATGAGTTCAGGAAGAACCAACCACCGGTGTTTAAAGGGAGATTTGATCCGGATGGTGCTCAAATATGGTTAAAGGAGATTGAGAGAATTTTTAGGGTGATGGATTGTGCTGAAGGGAATAAAGTGAGACTAGGGACTCACATGCTGAGAGAAGAGGCCGATGACTGGTGGGTCAGCATGAGGCAAGTTCTTGAGGTCGACGACGAGGAGATTACGTGGGATTTATTTCGTGCTGAGTTTCTAAGGAAGTATTATCCCGAAAGTGTTAAAGGGAAGAGAGAAATGGAATTTCTGGAATTGAAACAAGGTAATATGTCGGTGGTGGACTACACCGCTAAGTTTACTGAGTTAGTGAAGTTTCACCCTCACTATGATGCGATTACGGCGGAATTTTCCAAATGTATCAAGTATGAAAATGGCTTGCGTCCAGAGATAAAGCAAGCGGTGGGTTATCAAAGGATACGAAGATTTTCGGATTTGACCGAGTGTTGTAGAATTTATGAGGAAGACAGTAGAGCTCGTTCTACTCATTATAAAGGTTTGAGCGAGAGGAGAGGGAAGCAGCAAGTGCGAAGCGGACCTTATGTGACGCCTGCTGATAAGGGCAAACATAGGGGAAACTTTGATAGGAGACCCGGAGGAGGTTCCGGTGCGATCAAATGTTTTAAGTGTGGCGTGATGGGCCACAAGTCTTATGATTGTGGAAAGTTCAAGACGAAGTGTTCCAACTGTGGACTCTTTGGTCATGATGCAGCAGAGTGTAGAAAGAATGCTGTGAAGTGTTTTAATTGTGGCGAGGTGGG